AAGTTAAAGGCGTAGATCTCAAAAAGTTTGTTCAAAAACTGCACCTCGACCAAATGGACTATGGAGAATTAACGGACGAAGATGTAGAGAAATTTTACGGTACATAAAAAATATGACCCAGTTTGATCGAATTTTAATTTATATATCCTTTGTTATTACCTTACAGAATTCGTTGGTCCTGATTTTACTTGGCCTCCTACAATGAAGAACTGTGAGCGCCGTCTTATCTTTGATTGTGTTACCGATCCTGAAGAAAGACAAGGAGAAGGATATGCAAAAAATGTTATTGCATATCGGCGCTTCACCGAGGCTGGACAATTTGATCCGTCAAAAGGTACTCATGTCTTGATCATTGACGGAAAGATAGTCCGTTATGGTCCAAAGTTGTGGGGCAAAGAACACGAAGAAATGGTGTCGAAGAATCCGGAATTGTTGTACGCGCCTCTTGTAGAAGAGGTGGTCGGCGCGAGATTCTCTTCCATTGAGGATGTCGAACAAAAGGAGTGGCAGGTTTGTGTTTGTACAATTTCGCTTGTAATAATGAAGATTGCATTGTTGGAAACTGCTTTTGCCAAAACATCAGGTGCACATGCGGATTAGGCTCAAAGCCAACCCCAATGTCATAGCAACAATGGCAAATGTCGAACAAGACACCAAGCGGAAGCGCAAGTATCGGCTAATACTCGATACTGGTGCCACATACACAGTTGTACCACAATTCATACAGAAAAGGATGGGGCACCGTGCTGGCTGGAGTACGATAGCTACACGTGCTACTGGATACGCTGACGACACCATGATGTTTAAGGCTTCTGAGCCCTGGGAAGTCTCCTTAGGGGATGGTGTAAATTGGACGGATTGGAAGGAGACTGACCAATTATATATTTGGCAAAAGAGTGCTTCCAGCAATGTGGATTGTGGTCTGGTTGGTTTTGATGTTTTAAATAACACTTACCAGATCAAAGTCCCTGGCAAACCGTATGCTTTTGTAACGGATAACAATGTTACTAATCAATTACAACAAATTTACAACAGCATCAATTGATCTGATAGATCTGACCTCTGATGGCTGCTCCTTTACTTACTCATATTGACTCCCGACCTTTTCTACTTTATCAGCTTCGGTGTCTTTCTTTGCAAATTGTCCTTAGTTATGTTTGGAAGATGGACTGTCATTTCACTATATACCTGAGACCTTGCCTGTCTATCACTGATTCTATTGTCACCATAAATTAATAAAATGAATTTGTCTAATGAAGCAAAAAAAACGTCTATGTGAATCATTACAACAACAGCGTCTAAATAAAAAATTGGCTAAATATAACGATGCAAAAAGTTTCTCACGGGTTTAACTGATCTTGACTATAAACCTGGTCATGGAGAACATATGTATTATAAATACTGGCTTGCATCCAATGGCTGTGCCAACTTGGCTGATAAATAATATAGCGCTTTTAATGCATATCAACCCGAAGAGATTCATTCTAAATATATAATTCGGGTGGCAAGAAAACACTATACACTTCCAAAGTTTATAGAATGCCGAATACATTGATGGAAATAGGCCTCTTTGCTTAATAATCGATATTGATGCAAGACAAAAACCTGATCCTATAAATTCCGAGTTCCCTTCTTTAGATAGTGAAAAAATTACTCGCAATGATTTGATGTCTCGAATTTTAGTATATTGACCTTGAGATTTAGATTTTTCCAACGAGATCCTTGACTATCTCTACTTTGGTTAAATCCGCGTTGACAAATTGGTGACCTTATAAATGGATTTAAACACTCACGATTCTGAGTTCGATCTTGCGTACGCTTTTTCTGGATTTCTAATTAACCTCGAGTAAATACGTCTATTCTCTCGGTGGGATAAATGTCGAAAACCTATAGGTTAGGAACTATTCTACTAATAGCGATGTCTTAATTAGAAATCTTTATTGTCAAGGGGCCGATAATATCGAGGGCAAGATCGATTCTATCTATCGCTGATCAAGAAGCGTTTTACATTTTATCAGCGATGCCACAATATAGATACCACAAATAGATCAGAGAATACTATTATAAATTTCGTTTTTATTAATATTCAAATAGCTATTTATAAGTGAAATTATTACAAGTTTTAGATTCAAGATCGAATCTATTCAACCGAAGACAACGTTTGCTAAGGAATTTACGACTGCTTATATATCTATTTTCCGTTCTGCGCCTACTGCGCTTCTCTTTACTTTAAAATATCTAGATATGTGGGGATTAAATAAAACGAAACATTTTCTCATGTCCGTCGTACCGTCATATATCGAGAAACGTTTTCATTACACTGTTTCTTTCCGCTTATTTCCAAATATGTTTCGGTGGATTAAATTTAGTGGCGGTACTGCGGTTGAGGGTTGGTGTAACGAGTCGGAAATCACGGAGGAATACGTCAAGTTTATCACAAATTCTGACAGCAGATGCATTAAGCCTTATACCAAATTGTATGCCTTTCTTAAATTCTTTGCATTAGCAAGTTTATCGAATGCTAATAAATGCAGTTGGCATATTACGTGTATTTCTCCTCGTGCCCAATTCGTAGATTATAAGAGCTTAAGGATTTTACAGAAAAAGTTATGGAATTAGTTGGGGAACCTTATTCAAAGTTCATTGAATTGCCTGGGGAAGTTACAGTCATCCCTCGTTTATATCCCCACTTTGGGACGGAGACTTTTTGGGAATATATCTGAAGTGGGATATAACTGAGTATAGGCATTTTTAGTTTAGTAGTACAAGAAATTTTATCGGTTAATATACTCTGTTAATAACGTTTGGCGCTTTAACTTTTCTAACGACTCAATCTAAACGACGAATTATATCACGCATATTAATATAAATTTCCTTTGTTCTTGTCTTCCTACTTGTATAGAATTTTCCTAGCAATCAGTATCTTCAGCATCTCTTCATCTTTTATTTCGAATATTGTTCTTAATCAAATAATACTTTGCATTAGAATAGTTTTTTACATTCTAATAAAATCCGTGTTTGAATGTATTTATTCCCTGGTAGATTTTTATCGCTGGTAAAAGTGCAAATCGGTTTTTCAGCGATAAACAAAATTGAACTCGCTTTCGATTTTATTGAAATCTAGTTATCATTTAACGAATCGTTGCTTAGAGAAAATTCTCCGACCTACGAACTCGAAGTTAAATAGTAATTTAGGAACGGTAATATGCAAGATCGATCGCGCATCGTGAGTATCCGAACCCAATTTTAAGGTCACCAATTGTCGTTTATAGGTTTAGCAAAAGTAGATGTAGTCAAAAGCCTGAACGCTCTCCCTCGTATATTGATCCGACATCGTTAATTTTGGTTTTTATGATAACTCTCGCTTGATAATAAATCTCCCACCCTTTTACTGTCTTTTCCTTTTTTCTTGCTAATACTAATAAACTCGTAGCTATTACTATGTGCCTTTCAGAGGTTCTGAGAATAGAAGTAAACAGGGTTTGTTGGCAGGTCTCTTTTGTCGCATATTTAGCATCATGCAACATAGGTACGAAGTAAGAAAAGTATACATGATATACTGTATTCCCAAAGTATGTGGTATTATAATATGAATATTCTTGGGGCCTTGGATAAGATATAATAGACACTTGCGCTAAAAAATTCTACAGTGCTTATTAATAACATCAGCAGAACTTATTTCTTCGTAGTAAAACTATTGCCAACATGGTTCATGTGCTTTGTTTTAACATCGATCAAGGTATCAGTAAATGAATATTGAGATGTTCTCAAATGGTATACGCATTTAACAGAAGAATAAAGCTGCAAACCGTGGCAGGGTTAGGATTGGCTGCTCTTTGAAGCTTGTTGAGTCTGTTGTGAGGTTACGATTTTTGTGCTGTTTATTCTTTGATTGATGGACAAATTACTATTTGCATAATTATGTTTATGACAACAACTAGTAAACATATTGAAGCACTAAAACATTAACCCAGGAAATGTTGTCATCAGTATATTATAAGTAAATGGTCAAGCGTTTTGTTCTTTCTCAGTTAATAATAGATTCTGTATCGTCTCAGGTTATGTAATTACTGTATATTAAAACCTTGTTTTCTTCACAGCAGTTTTGTTATTACCAATTCTCAGACGTCTTTTTGAGCCGCGGCTTATCATCAACAGGTTTAACAGGCGTAAGTGTCGTTCAATGATGCGTTATTTAATTTGGTGACAGCACGCTTTTTACTTACCGAGAAACGACAACGTCATAAGATGCAGTCTGACTTTGCTTACTGCCTAAAAATTCAGTGGTTTCTTACTATTTGTGAGCTTCTGGTGACAGATCCTATAGCGGCAATACACATAAATCATTAGAGATACGAGCTTTTTTTGTGATTTAAACATGAGACGTCTATGAATATATATGTTGAGGAAAAGGGTAAGTAAAGTTAGCAGATTCGACGGAAAGGATTTGTTTGAAGGCATGCGGTCTTCGAGTAGTATTGACTGTGATGATACCTGGTTCGTGACACATTGTGGTAAGCAGTTACTTCTCCCATCGAAAGAATTTTCAAGAGTGTGTTTACGATTGTTGTATGGTACTTTCAAGGAGAGGGTATAACTTATTAGCAAGCATAAGAAGAGATTGCACTTTTTTATATAACTGTTTACTATGTCGTGTGAAAGGCTTTAATTATTAGTGAATCTAGTAACATTACTTGTAAAACATTGTCAGCCCAAATGCTTGTGAAAGGGCAAAGAATAAAAACGAACAAAAGATAGCGAAGCTTGTTGATTATAATAGTAAATAGTGCAAGAATGGGATGGAACTGGACAAAACGAATTATAGAATAAGAAACATGGAACTTTTTATAGATTCACTTTCCGCTGCACAATTCTGCAAGTGTAACAGTTCTGAATTTTTTTCGTCAATTAACATACAGTCATAAAAAAGTCACCACTTTATTCATTACCATATGAAGCGAAACAAAAAAAGACATTCGTCGTTTCCTCGAGGAAAATCGAGAATGCAATCCAGCATTGCGTTCTTTATCTTTCTAGCGTTAAAGAAAATAATTGCCTACAACTAGGAATAAAAATAACCACTACAAAGGTACTAGGTACCTACGGATTGGACTGATCATCCCAGCATCCTATAAATAAGTAGTATAAAAATGGTAATAGACAATAGTAGTTCCTGTCACTTCTGTTTGCATTCTCTAATAGATAAACATGTAATACTATAACATCTCCGATATGTTGCATAAGTTACAGAAATGGTATCGGCGACATACCTGTCATCCTTCTCATCGTGCTGTGCGGTTTGGACGTTGATTATCTGTACGGAATTAGTGTAATATACAATGATTACATTATTATAATACTTTTATATAAAGCGAAGTGATGACATCTTGCGTAAAGAACGTTACTATTACCAATTCTCTTATGCGGTTTTTTTGCAATAACAAAAAAAACTATTTTGCAATAACAAAAAAAACTATTTTGCTTAATTTAAATTTAAATACAGTGGAAACTTTGAAGCAAGAAATGTTGAGTATGTAACCATATTCACATGTTGAAGATTATATGCATGAAAACTTTTCTTGCAGTACAAACAAAATTAGTTCGAAAAATGCACAGACAAGCTAAAATACAAGGGTTGCAAAAAATTGGACAAATTAACTTGCTCATTCTGCACAAGCAGTATTTCAAATGCCGTATAATATATATCATTTGCAATCGCGGGAGAGCAATCAATCGCTGGCCTTGGAATTTAGCTATTTTCAAATATAACTGTGATCCTACTTTAAGTTAAGTACAACGATAGTTAACTTATCACTTGTTTGACTGCTGTTAACAACACTCCCCTCGCAAAAGTGAATATAAATTTACTATGTAGGCCGTGACCTGTAAACTAGTATTTACTACTCACGACCTTATGTCGATCGGTCGACACTAATCCTCGACGGTTATTCGTATTCGGGTTTCAGGTTTAATCCTTTACCAGGGAATGATTTATGAACAGTGTATTCTGAGTATAAAAAACTACTCGTTTATTAGAAAGAAATA